TGATGTCCAGTAATTATATCGTTTGATTGATGTCCAGTAATTATATTGTTTGATTGATGTCCAGTAATTATATCGTTTGATTGATGTCCAGTAATTATATCGTTTGATTGATGTCCAGTAATTATATCGTTTGACTGATGTCCAGTAATTATATCGTTTGATTGATGTCCAGTAATTATATCGTTTGATTGATGTCCAGTAATTATATCGTTTGACTGATGTCCAGTAATTATATCGTTTGACTGATGTCCAGTAATTATATTGTTTGATTGATGTCCAGTAATTATATCGTTTGATTGATGTCCAGTAATTATATTGTTTGATTGATGTCCAGTAATTATATCGTTTGATTGATGTCCAGTAATTATATCGTTTGATTGATGTCCAGTAATTATATCGTTTGATTGATGTCCAGTAACTATATCGTTTGATTGATGTCCAGTAATTATATCGTTTGATTGATGTCCAGTAATTATATCCTTTGATTGATGTCCAGTAATTATATGTTTTGATTGATGTCCAGTAATTATATCGTTTGATTGATGTCCGGTATTATATTTTGATTGATGTACTAAACGAAGAAAGACGCTGTAATTGTACTTATTTTGGTCCAGGGAGATCTTTGAAAGTGGGGGATGGAAGGTATTTCACCTAAATCTAAAAGTATCATTGGAGAGTTTTTAATCCAGTAAAGGAAGTCATATAGGTTTCAAAATTAAACTTGATTTAAATTAGCAAGAGACGAAAGAGATTTAATATCCCATGGTGTTAGTCTAATCTAAAGACTTATTTTGTAGATTCCTGTAATCTCTCATAACTTAATCATGTCAAACAGTTGCATGTATTTTCATTTATATTTTTTAGTGCAAAATTATTATTTTCTTTTCCTTCAAAAAACAAGAACTCCATCACGAATGTGATACGAAAAGAAATATTTGTATGTCTCATGACAAATCACCTTATGAGTCTGAATGGATAGTCCCATGGGTCCACAAAAGTAATATTTACAGATCTAAAAGCTCTTAGGAACCAGTCATTTCCCCAGCGAAAAAATAAATAATTAAATAAAAACACAAACAAATAAGGACACAAAAAATAAATAAATAAAAAAAAACTGACAAAAACCATTCTAGTTTGAGAACCTGTCCCTATGGTTTTTATAACTGTAGTGCACTTTGCTGAAACCTCGCAGTTGCTTCTAAAAGAGTTGTTTGCTTAGAAGAGCTCAACCTGCCAATCATGCATCACTCGCTATCAGATTTGTTTACCCTTAGCAACCTTTTTTAACACGAGGAAAATGGCGGATCCTGGTGTCAAGCTGTGATAACATTTCAATAAAAAAAAACATTGTCTCGTAGTTTTTTAATGGTTTAGGTTTTCTATTTCTTTCCTATTTCTTTTTTTTTTTCTCTGATGAGAAAATGTTGGTTCATTCATGACATATTTTTTCTCCAGAAACTTCACATGATCATAAACAATGAGTCAAGTTTTCAGAGAAGCTCTGGATTTTAAAATTCATTTTTTATCTCCAGTTTTTTTTAATAGCTACTAATCTATGGCAAATAAAGTGTTTTTGTTCGCCATTCGCATGCGAAGAGGACCATGACCCAGGCTAGGATGACCAAGGCTAAGATGACCAACACTAAAATGACCAAGGCTAAGATGACCAAGGCTAAAATGTCCAAGGCTAAGATGACCAAGGCTAAGATGACCAAGGCTAAAATGACCAGGCTAAGATGACCAGGCTAAGATGATCAAGGCCAAGATGACCAGGCTAAGATATCCAAGGCTAAGATGACCAGGCTAAGATGACCAATGCTAAGACGACCAATGCTAAAATGATAAAGGCTAAAGTGACCCAGGCTAAGATGATCAAGGCTAAGATAAACAAGGCTAAGATGATTAAGGCTAAGATAACGAAGGTTAAGATGATCAAGGCTAAGATAACCAAGGCTAAGATGATTAAAGCTAAGATAAGGAAGGCTAAGATAAAAAAGGCTAAAATGATTAAGGCTAATAAGACCAAGGTTTGCATCATTAATGGTGTGCTGCTTTTTGTTGTTTTGCAAACTTGACAAAACCCACTGTTCTTTTATCAAGACAATGAAACTACTAGGCTGTGGGCATTTGATAAGGGGTACGAGGAAGGAAATTCATTTTAGAGTTTAAAAAAAAAAAGATAATAATTGGTAACTTACATTTTATGTATGTGATAAAAGAGAGATATGAATGCTCTCAAAATGCATGCTGCGAATGTAAGCTACTTTTAGACTAAATACAGCTCATGGATAATTCATTTCACAAAGACACATCACGTTCACAAAGACACAAGCCATTCACAAAGACACAACACATTTACAAAGACACAACACATTCACAAAGACACAACACATTCACAAAGACACAAGCCGTTCACAAAGACACAAACATTTACAAAGACACAAGCCATTCACAAAGACACAACACATTTACAAAGACACAAGCCATTCACAAAGACACAACACATTTACAAAGACACAAGCCATTTACAAAGACACAACACATTCACAAAGACACAAGACATTCACAAAGACAAAACACATTCACAAAGACACAAGCCATTCACAAAGACACAACACATTTACAAAGACACAAGCCATTCACAAAGACACAACACATTTACAAAGACACAACACATTCACAAAGACATAAGACATTCACAAAGACACAACACATTCACAAAGACACAACACATTTACAAAGACACAACACATTCACAAAGACACAATCCATTCACACGAATTGAACCTGAACCTGAGCTATGTGCATTCGACATGTTGTGAAGAGGCCCCGCGCCTTCAGTGGGTGCATGACAGCAATGTAGCGCTCCATAGCTATCACCGCCAGGAGCAGCACCGACACGCATATGCTGAAGCTCTCGGTGAAGTAGTAGATCTTGCACATCGCCTGTTGGAGACGAAAAAGATGGTCTGTTATTACAGCTGAGACGGGATTTCTTTTTAAAATTAGGAACATGGTTGATAACTGAACATAATTTGAACACGTATGTGTGCAATGCTTCTCTTGATTCTCTTTTTTTCGTCGTATTTAGTTTCCTCACCATGTTGTATATGATATAATTGTACATCCCCTAAAATAAAGTTTTTCCCAAACATCCTTTATAAAATTTCAAATCGAGAAATGGGGAGAGTGAGTACATTTGACAAAGCGTGCATTCAAGTGACGCACTTTATAAGAATCCCAATTAGTGCACCCCCAAGGTTTACAACCGCACATTTTTTCCACGCCCCTGAACTCTATTAATATTCTTATGACCCACCCGCTTTCACACCACAGATTTATTTCATCAACTGTTTTTAAAAAAAAAAACTAAATAAATTATGACGCACCAAACACACCTGCGATATATTTTTTAAAAGAATCTCATTTACAGGCACTCATTGATTACACACTGACTGTTCTCTGTCACAACTTTTTCTCTGTTTCCCGCCCTTCCTATTTACTGAACTTCCATCTGTCTATTCACCCCTTCGGCAGCTTCGTTTCTCCGCAGACACCCGTATTATTTCTGTCCGCAAGACACGCAGTAAAACATACGGAGAACGATCTTTCTTTTTCTGCGCCCAAAACAATGGAATTCCCTCCCATTAAACATCCGCAATATACCGACCCTCCAAGTCTTCAAAACTGCACCCAAGACCCGTACCTCAAACTCTACTATTCCGACTCATTCTCACCCACTCTGACCAACAAACAACGCTTGATGCTGCTGGCTGCCGTCCATTGCTAGACAGGGGTCAATAGTACTTGAGTGGACGTGGGCTATATTTGTACACAGCCGTTGTTAAATGAATACATTTTGTTACCGTCTTTTTGTTCATATTTCTCTTTTTTTTTCTTTTTTCGTTTTGCCAATTTGTATGTGAAGCACGGTGAGCCTAGCCGTTAACTGGCGTACCGCGCAATATAAGACAACTTTGATAATCATAATAATAACTTAGCGCAGTTATCGGGAATTTTATTTCATGAAATCAGCGTTATCATATTTCGTTCATTCATCTCCCCTTGAAAACAAGAAAAAATTGAACTTTGGTGTGGCTAAACATTTGACAGATTATGTTGTCATCGGAAAGGAATCTATGTGCTAAGTTTCAGTTTGTTAGGGTGACTGGAAGTGGGTCAATTAGTATTCGTATATTATACCACAAACCCAGAAAGAAGCACACGAATAAAAGTGATGTTGATATAAAGGATATTAAATATAAAGCGTTTAAAAAAATTTAAAAAATCAGACATATTTTATGCAAGTATTGTTAAAAGCTTAACGACAATATGAAACTTCTTTACAAATGTTACCAATGAAACTGAATATGTTGCTTTTGAGCCTATTTGATCCTATTCGATCCTATTTGATATAATTCGATCTTAGTCAGCCTACCACCTTGTGGAGGAATGTACATATAAAGCTAAATTAATAGCCTTAACATAAGGTCTTGCGATGCACTCTTGTACATACCTAACATTAGGTCTAGCGGCACTTTTGAACATCTCTAACTTTAAGTTAAGTGGTACACTCTTCTACAAACCTAATATTAGGTCTAGTGCAGCAGTAGCATTAGGTCTAGTGGCACACTCTCATTCAACACTAACATTAGGTCTAGCGGTACACTCTTGTACATTCCTAACATTACGTCTGTTGTGCAGCCCTAACATCAGGTCTAGCGGCACACTCTTGTGCAGATGTAACATTAGATCTAGCGGAAACTCTTGTGCAGCCCTAACATTAGGTCTAGCGGCACACTCTTGTGCAGCCCTAACATTAGGTCTAGCGGCACACTCTTGTGCAGCCCTAACATTAGGTCTAGCGGCACACTCTTGTGCAGCCCTAACATTAGGTCTAGCGGCACACTCTTGTGCATCCCAAACTCGTGTGGTGATCAAAGGAGGCATAAATGCACATTCCCTTAAATGTTTGAAGAATACCGGCCGACATATCTTCAATAGATAATATCCATACATTACGAAATCCATTCTCTATCACCATTCTACTCCAATATCTCAGTGTGATGCCCGCGTTAGTTATTTTCTATTTCCATTATTTTTGGTTTAAGTTAGTCCTACTAAATTATTGAAAGAAGGAGTGGCCTACATTACTGAGCCCTATGCTATGTACAATGGTGCACATTAAGACACTGTTCTACGTAAATCGGTATAAAATTGTAAATTCTAGCCGTTAACCGCCAACAATGTCAGGAATTTGTCATAAAACAGTTTGAGTTTTAATTTCATTAATTTAACTTACTTCTAGAAACGACTTGAGAGTTGTGTGGAGAGAAGAAGGAATTAATGGCTTAAAAAGTATTACATTGATTCATAAGCTCTACTATCAAGATGTCTTTGGTGAACATGCAAATCCATACAAATATAATTTTCATCAACTGAGAAAATCATTTTTTTAGAAATGTTGAAAAAACTCTTTGATTTTCAAAGGAAAGATGAACTCAATGTCTATTAAATAAGAAACAAAAGCTTCTAATTAATACAGCTCTTTATCTCATATAAATATTAATTATTATTTCGTTTTAAAAAAAAAATGTCTATTTCTTGGAATCTAACCAACTCTTTCTAAAACCAGCGATGTTTACAATTTTCAATATTTATGAGATAAAAGAGACCTATTTGTTAAAATTGGATCTACCTCGAATTCATAATTTAAAAACATCTCATTAAAAGTTGATGTTTTTCACAATTCCACAAGATAACAGAATCAAAATTCATAAGCAGTGTTCAAAAGTACAATAATTTAGTCAACATGATTTGCTCGTATATGCTGTGAATTTAATGTCGTATTATAGTCAATGATGAAGAGAGTTTGTTTTTCCCCCAAGTATCCCAATATCAGTATAAAAAAATGTGGGCGTAGTATTATAGCCACCTTGATAAAATTAAAAAAAAAAATCTTTGTCCAAAATTGCATCTGGTCATTTCTATACACAGGGGCTTTGATCTCACTTACATGGTAAACATGCTACTGCAGTACAGTGATGTAAACAAGTTCCTCCAGTACAGTGATGTAAACAAGTTCCTGCAGTACTGTGATGTAAACAAGTTCCTGCAGTACAGTGATGTAAACAAGTTCCTGCAGTACAGTGATGTAAACAAGTTCCTGCAGTACAGTGATGTAAACAAGTTCCTGCAGTACAGTGATGTAAACAAGTTCCTGCAGTACAGTGATGTAAACAAGTTCCTGCAGTACAGTGATGTAAACAAGTTCCTGCAGTACAGTGATGTAAACAAGTTCCTGCAGTACAGTGATGTAAACAAGTTCCTGCAGTACAGTGATGTAAACACGTTCCTGCAGTACAGTGATGTAAACAAGTTTCTGCAGTACAGTGATGTAAACAAGTTCCTGCAGTACAGTGATGTAAACAAGTTCCTGCAGTACAGTGATGTAAACAAGTTCCTGAAGTACAGTGATGTAAACAAGTTTCTGCAGTACAGTGATGTAAACAAGTTCCTGCAGTACAGTGATGTAAACAAGTTCCTGCAATACAGTGATGTAAACAACTTTCTGCAGTACAGTGATGTAAACAAGTTCCTGCAGTACAGTGATGTAAACAAGTTCCTGAGTACAGTGATGTAAACAAGTTCCTGCAGTACAGTGATGTAAACAAGTTCCTGCAGTACAGTGATGTAAACAAGTTTCTGCAGTACAGTGATGTAAACAAGTTCCTGCAGTACAGTGATGTAAACAAGTTCCTGCAGTACAGTGATGTAAACAAGTTCCTGCAGTACAGTGATGTAAACAAGTTCCTGCAGTACAGTGATGTAAACAAGTTCCTGCAGTACAGTGATGTAAACAAGTTCCTGCAGTACAGTGATGTAAACAAGTTCCTGCAGTACAGTGATGTAAACAAGTTCCTGCAGTACAGTGATGTAAACAAGTTCCTGCAGTACAGTGATGTAAACAAGTTCCTGCAGTACAGTGATGTAAACAAGTTCCTGCAGTACAGTGATGTAAACAAGTTCCTGCAGTACAGTGATGTAAACAAGTTCCTGCAGTACAGTGATGTAAACAAGTTCCTGCAGTACAGTGATGTAAACAAGTTCCTGCAGTACAGTGATGTAAACAAGTTCCTGCAGTACAGTGATGTAAACAAGTTCCTGCAGTACAGTGATGTAAACAAGTTCCTGCAGTACAGTGATGTAAACAAGTTCCTGCAGTACAGTGATGTAAACAAGTTCCTGCAGTACAGTGATGTAAACAAGTTCCTGCAGTACAGTGATGTAAACAAGTTCCTGCAGTACAGTGATGTAAACAAGTTCCTGCAGTACAGTGATGTAAACAAGTTCCTGCAGTACAGTGATGTAAACAAGTTCCTGCAGTACAGTGATGTAAACAAGTTCCTGCAGTACAGTGATGTAAACAAGTTCCTGCAGTACAGTGATGTAAACAAGTTCCTGCAGTACAGTGATGTAAACAAGTTCCTGCAGTACAGTGATGTAAACAAGTTCCTGCAGTACAGTGATGTAAACAAGTTCCTGCAGTACAGTGATGTAAACAAGTTCCTGCAGTACAGTGATGTAAACAAGTTCCTGCAGTACAGTGATGTAAACAAGTTCCTGCAGTACAGTGATGTAAACAAGTTCCTGCAGTACAGTGATGTAAACAAGTTCCTGCAGTACAGTGATGTAAACAAGTTCCTGCAGTACAGTGATGTAAACAAGTTCCTGCAGTACAGTGATGTAAACAAGTTCCTGCAGTACAGTGATGTAAACAAGTTCCTGCAGTACAGTGTTTTAAACAAGTTCCTGCAGTACAGTGATGTAAACAAGTTCCTGCAGTACAGTGATGTAAACAAGTTTCTGCAGTACAGTGATGTAAACAAGTTCTTGCAGTACAGTGATGTAAACAAGTTCCTGAGTACAGTGATGTAAACAAGTTCCTGCAGTAC